AAAATTATTAGCAGCTATTTTGTACGAGCTCTAAAAGGTGTTCATATACCAAACCGCACAATTTTTTGCCAACCTTACTGAGGGATCACTTGTGTTACATCGAACTTTTATGCAAGTATTTTGAGCACACGTAGTGTGTCTCTAGTTGCCAGCATCTTGTTATGGCGGGTTTGCAGTCCAGCAAGGAGAAAATAAAGTCGGGAAAACGTATCGGTTTGCGCTTGTGTTCCAACAATGTTCTGAATTTAATTTTCATTACAAAGTTCCGGTTGGAAAGTTTTTCGCGTGACAACCATCCGCCTTCCCATGCTTTGGTAGTCTTGAGGAAGTAATCGCAAAAATGAAGTTTATTTTGATGGAATTTAAAGTATTTCCCGTCTTGTCCAGATCGCACTTCATACCAGTCAAGGGCATTTTGTTGAATAATTCCTCTATGTTAAAGAGCAGTGGGCCTTTGCTGTCTCCAGTCTTCTTACTTGGTTATTGTTCCCAAGCCTGCCTAACTCTGTATTGTGAATAAAACACTTTCCCTACATAGTTTACTGCGAGCATACCATAAAATCAGAAGGTTTTCACAATATGTGTTTAAGTTTAAAAATGCTCGTCAGGCAGAGCAGAGCAGAATGTATTGGTCCCACGAACCGGCGCTTTTCCAAACGAATCAGAGAACACCTTCCAGCATGGTTAGGAAAGGTCCAATTAAAGAACATTAACGGCTCTATTTTCGTGCTTATGATGGACTCAAATCATCACGTAGATGACTAAAGTGCCTTCCGGGTAATTTACAAGGGTCCCTCAAGCTACTCGAAAATCCTTGGACAGCGTCTGTTAGCTACGGTAGAAGCGGCTGCAGTCGGGTTACGCAAACCGATCCTGTGTGCCCAAAATAACTACATACAGGTGCCGCAGGAATCAGAGGCGAACGCTACCCATTCAGCCATCCGCGGATAATTATCCCTCCCGGTGGCCAGTGCCTCCTACTCCTGGTCAGACTATTGACCTCAATTTTTTAAACTCTTCCACCATGGCAACCGCAGGTTTTTTTCTAGCAAACTGCATAGTTTACTTATCTACATAATGATAAAGGCTTAATGAGAATTTATCAAAAGCCCGCCAAAGTACCTTTTGCATTTTTTTCCAAGCGAGTGTTTGCAACCATAAGAAGGAAGCCTTAAATGGTGTGCATTTGTTCTATTGATTTTCGATGCCCTTACAAATTCAAATTTGAGAAGAAGGCGACTCGATCGCTGGGACAATACTTTTGTTCGCCTGACGTTTCGATATCCGTCGCGGATCCATCATCAGAGACATAATCACAGCGCAGTAGCATATACAGGTAGTGTGTGCACAGGAGTTTTGCGGTATAAGACAGTTTAAATTTAAACGCGTGCAAAAAATCGATAACTGTTTGGTGCGAGTGCTGATTCGCTACCTCAGGCGTAGGATGACGTGGTGGCAACGATTTGCCCAAAGCAAATCGCCATTTGGGGAACGGACAGGCCACCACATCATCCTACGCCTGTAGGATTTGCACACGTTTAAATTCTAACTGTCTTATACAACAAAAATCCTGTGCACACACTACTTGTATCTGCTACTGCGCTGTGATTATGTATCTGGTGATGAATCTGCGACGGATATCGAAACGTCAGGTGAATAAAAGTATTGTCGCAGCGATCGAGGCGTCTTCTTTTCAATTACTTCCTGGGACTCGCATGTTCGCTTGTATTGGAAATTCAAATTTATTTTGCAGCGTTCACCGATCGGTCAGGTGACTCACTCGTCCCTTCGTGCCTTGATGCTCACTCTTGATGCCCGCCAGCGGGCGAACAGCCGCTAATAAACGGCAGAATAGCATTACCCACAAAGACAGTAGAAATTGGAATGGCTAATTCTGGCTTGTTAGCCGTCATCAGCCAGTCATACTCAACCTCAGGTGGTACACCATGCGCGCCTCGAATCCGGGACCTGTTGGCTGGATGTCGAACGTTCTAGCCACTGCGCTAGAGGCTTGGTGCCTTGCCGATTCTGATCGGGAATACTAACAGTAGTAGATGGACGCTCACCGATCGGGCACAGAACGCACTCGTCCCGTCGTGCCTTGGGGTTCACGTTTGAGCCCCACCTACCACCCTATGGCGGCTAATTATATAGGCAGAAACGGCCATTCTAATCTCCCTAGT